GTCTTCAAAGCCTTACATCAATTTGTTTTGTTTTGTTCAGCCATTTTTAAACAATACTGTGTCCTGTTCAGATCTTCGAATGTACAAATAAAAGAGGGAATAGAAAATGTCTTACAGCATCCAAACTGTTCCACACAATGAGTTTATGAGCCGTTAGGAGCACAACAACTAGCATGCTAACGGCTAACCATGTTATAGTGGCACAATGTCTCCTTCTGGTGTCTCTCTGGTCTCTCTCTTGTCGCTCTCTTGTTGCTCTCTGGTCTCTCAGTCTGGTCTCTCTCTGGTCTCTCTCCCTGGTCTCTCTCTGGTCTCTCTCTGGTCTCTCTCTGGTCTCTCTGGTCTCTCTCTGGTCTCTCTCTCTCTGGTCTCTCTCTGGTCTCTCTCTCTCTGGTCTCTCTCTGGTCTCTCTCTGGTCTCTCTCTGGTCTCTCTCTGGTCTCTCTCTGGTCTCTCTCTGGTCTCTCTCTGGTCTCTCTCTGGTCTCTCTCTGGTCTCTCTCTGGTCTCTCTGGTTTCTCTCTGGTCTCTCTCTAGTCTCTCTCTAGTCTCTCTGGTGTCTCTCTGGTCTCTCTCTGGTCTCTCTCTGGTCTCTCTCTGGTCTCTCTCTGGTCTCTCTCTCTGGTCTCTCTATGGTCTCTCTCTGGTCTCTCTGGTGTCTCTCTGGTCTCTCTCTAGTCTCTCTCTAGTCTCTCTGGTGTCTCTCTGGTTTCTCTCTGGTCTCTCTCTAGTCTCTCTCTAGTCTCTCTGGTGTCTCTCTGGTCTCTCTCTGGTCTCTCTGGTTTCTCTCTGGTCTCTCTCTAGTCTCTCTCTAGTCTCTCTGGTGTCTCTCTGGTGTCTCTCTGGTCTCTCTCTGGTCTCTCTCTGGTCTCTCTCTGGTCTCTCTCTGGTCTCTCTCTGGTCTCTCTCTGGTCTCTCTCTCTGGTCTCTCTATGGTCTCTCTCTGGTCTCTCTCTGGTCTCTCTGGTGTCTCTCTGGTGGCTCTCCTCTCTGGTCTCTCTCTGGTCTCTCTGGTGTCTCTCTGGTCTCTCTCTGGTCTCTCTGGTGTCTCTCTGGTCTCTCTCCTCTCTGGTCTCTCTCTGGTCTCTCTCTGGTCTCTCCCTGGTCAGAATAAACTAAAATCTAAAATCAAACTCTTTAGCGTTGTGAAGTGAGTCCCTGATGTTCTGTGGAAGTTCCAGAGAAGCGGCTTCATCGTAAAACCTCACAACAATCATAAAAGTATCTGATTTTTCTCAACAAAAACAAAAAACATTGACAATTTCTCACCATGTCTCATCCATGTAGCGTCCTGTAAAAAACCCTGTGATCAGAAAGTGCGGCTCATAACTGCTGCATGGACCCTCAGGCTACTCCCGATTATTAACCCGCGGATTAAAACTAGATATCCCATCATGCAATGTGCTGAACGGGCAGAGCGCGAGCCAAGAGGAGGAGGACACTTTATAAAGAGATGGACGCCGTGACTTTAGGGCAATTCATTTTCCATCATCTGAATGGGGTGAGGGCGGGTCACGAGTCTCCCCCATTTACTCCCCAAGCACCGGGGTACGAGTCCAGACTGGATTCTGCAAATATGAGCCCGGAGTCAGGACGAGGCAGTCTGGACTACAGTCTTCCTGAAAATGTGAGACACAGCCAGGGACCATAGTGTTTATGTTATAATACCACTGGACCTGAGATGACATAGTTATCTGCTGGATTCACACAGATATTTAAAACTAAAATCCTTTTCCCATCTGCCCCATGGACCCACCCTTTATTGATAAGCCACGTCTGGGCAGGAAGAGAGACCAGAGAGAGACCAGAGACCAGAGAGAGAGACCAGAGAGACCAGAGAGAGACCAGAGAGAGACCAGAGAGACCAGAGAGAGACCAGAGAGAGACCAGAGAGAGACCAGAGAGACCAGAGAGAGACCAGAGAGGGACCAGAGAGAGACCAGAGAGAGACCAGAGAGAGAGACCAGAGAGAGAGACCAGAGAGAGACCAGAGAGAGACCAGAGAGAGAGACCAGAGAGAAAGACCAGAGAGAGACCAGAGAGAGACCAGAGAGAGAGACCAGAGAGAAAGACCAGAGAGAGACCAGAGAGAGAGACCAGAGACCAGAGAGAGAGACCAGAGAGAGAGACCAGCGAGAGACCAGAGAGAAAGAGCAGAGAGAAAGACCAGAGAGAGAGACCAGAGAAAGACCAGAGAAGAACTGAGCGAGACCAGAGAGAGACCAGTGAGAGACCAGAGAGAGACCAGAGAGAGACCAGAGAGAGACCAGAGAGAGACCAGAGAGAGACCAGAGAGAGACCAGAGAGAGAGACCAGAGAGAGACCAGAGAGAGACCAGAGAGAGAGACCAGAGAGAGACCAGAGAGAGAATAGAGAGAACGATCAGAGAGAGAGCAGAGAGAGACCAGAGAGAAACCAGAGAGAGACCAGAGCGAGACCAGAGCAAGACCAGAGAGAGACCAGAGAGAGAGACCAGAGAGAAAGACTAGAGAGAGAGACCAGAGAGAGAGACCAGAGAGAGCCAGAGAGAGACAGGAAAGAGAGATCAGAGAGGGAGACCAGAGAGAGACCATCTTTCTCCATCTGCCCCCGTGGACAGCACCCATCCGTCTCTCTTGATAACCCAGGTCTGTGCAGGAAGTCCTGGCTCTGCTTTGGCCACGGCCCCGGTTCATGTCAACATTCAACCTTCTATTTACACTCGAGCTGCTCCCAAAAGCAAACTGTGGACAATATCAAATGTCAACTATCTCCAACACTAAACAAGGAGAACAAGCGGCTGTGGGACTGAGAGCTCCTCATCTGCCCTTTCAGTTCAGAGAAAAGGCTGCACACGGTTTGGAACGACAACTTTTCAACTTCCCCGTCGCATAAATGCAAAGAAAAGCTGGTCCATGGATTCGTCTGATACATCCTGGTCCTGAAGAGTAGAACAACATCTGTTAAAGACGTCTCCAGCTTCAGAAAAATATAGCTTTTCCAAAAACAAATTAGTGACTCAAAACGTATCTCCATCTTGTTTTTTTTTTTTTTTTTAACTAATTAAAACCAAAATATGGCTCCACTTGTTTGTTTAAGAGATAGTAGATGAAATGAAGTGGTCAGAGGTAAAACACAGTGAGCGTCGTTTCTAAACTCCAGTCGGTGGATTGCATTAGTAATCAGTGCTTAGGACCTTCCACTGCTTAAAGTGATGACAAATAAGTCGAACATTGCTCAAATTTTGGTTACAATTTTCCAATAGGACAAACATGATAATTTTGTTTTGAGAAAAAATACAAGATATGACCAAACAGTTCTTGAACAGAAAATGCTGTTTTTTTTATCTTATTTTGATTAGATCTTGTTAGAATAAATAATAAAATATATCTTTAAATTATTATTAAAGTAATTATAAATAATATTTAAAAAACATTATCATTGATTCTAGCAACAAAAGTACAGTTGGATTATTAATGACTTTATCAGATCTTCAGGAACACAGACATACTTTAACATTCTGAAACTACTCAAACCAAAGGAATTCATAGAAATACTCCCAAAAAAGTTTTAGTTTTTCCTCGTATTTAAGTAAGGGATTTATGGTTTTTCACCCCTGTCAACGTTGTCTTTCAGAAACAAAATTAAAGTCGCAAAATGTAAGATTTTCATGTCAAGTCATCATTAAAGGGCCATAATCTGTCAAAATAATAAACCGCATTCTTTTCCAATACTTCTTTAACTGATAAAAGTAGTTCAGAGATATTTGGATTTCAGAATTAGTTTTCCAGCCCATAAATCTTGTTTTCGTTTCGATGTCTCGGACTTTCGGCTAGTCAGACTTTGTACATACTGCTCCTTTTGAGATAGTTTGACCTTTATTATTGATACCCACGTCCATCGGGAATCGTCGCTTGTTGAATCTACTCTACGTGAATGCAACGGATCCATCCACAAACGCCTCATGGTTTTCTTTCCCATCGCTGAGAAAAGCAACTCAGTGTGAAGCCGGCTCACTGCGGAGGCTGGGAAAGACTACCCGATTCCATTTCACAAAACTTTCACACCCAGAACCTGCGTTAGAAAGCCAAGCATTCTCCACAGTCACGCTCCTAACACCGCTGGACGCTCCAAAAACACCATGGTTCTTGAGAAAGCAGAGGAGGCCTATAGATTTTTTTCACTGCCGCTACTATTTTTGGATACAAAGCCGCTGGTGTGTGAGTAAAAGAATGATTTTCACAATAACAAGCTCCAAAAACCACTCGTGACTCTTACATATATATATTAGCCTTTACACAGGATCTGGAGAATGTATATTTTGGAATTTCATGGATTAGAATGGATTATGTAAGATAGGGAAGGTAAGGGAAGTTTATTTGGGCTGCAGGATGGCTGAGTGGTCTCGCTTCTCAGCAAAAAAGGTCCTGGGTTCGAATCCCGGTCAGAACAGGGCCTTTCTGTGTGGAGTTTACCTGTTTTGGACCAACCTCGTGACATTTTTACACATAACGTACAGTACGCTTTACTCTTGTTTACTTAAAAAAAATCAGCCATACGCTACTGGACACTACGCACCTCAGCACCTCAACACCACACCCTTCATAACATACACACAACACACACACACACACTTCTGGTGCGACCCTGAAGCCCCTCCCCGTCCATCTCCTACCCACAATGCTACTGTGCAGGAATTTGTATGATCTATGTAACCATTGTATGTAACTACTGACTACTGTATATGCACTCCCCTATCACTGGGTCCTAAAAATCCAAAAAAATAATAATAAAATAACAAAACTGCCATATGGCCAATATCCACTTGCCGCTACCTTCCTTGTCGGTAGCTTGCTTTCTTGCGCGGTAATGACGGTGTGGTAAATTATAAATGCTGCTAGTATCGGGTCCTAAGGTACGAGTACAGGTACAAGCCTATGGTATCGACCCAATACCAGTATAAGTATCAGTGCGTCCCTAAATGGAACGGACACTCTGCCTTCTCAGGTTCCTACAGCTCCACATGACAGAGAGGAAACCCGCTGCTCCGACCTCCATCCCGGCTCCTGTCCCTCTGTCATGTGCCCTGGGACGTCCCACACACACAGGGGTCTCTGTTTGTGCAAAGTGAAGCGTGTCCTGGACTTTCACATTCCTGTATCTGGCCTCAGTCCCGTGTCCAGGAAATCAACACACTCAAACAGTAAACAGAAGAAACAGAAGTGCAGCCGCTGTGGTTAAAAGTCACCCATGTCCACTGCACAAAGTTATGGGAAAAAGTGCATCCGGCGACTAATCAATTTGACAACTTCCTGAATTAAAACTTGCCATTGGAGCATATAATGACAAAGATTCTCAACGACTCTGCTTTATGTGAAACGGAACCAGCTTAATCTGTTCAATTCAACATATTTGCGAAGCCCTAATCCCAACAGCAGCTGTAGATTCGCCGACAACAGATCAGAGAATCAAACCATCAGAAGGAAATACGATAATAACAAACCCGTGGAGACATCGGTCCATAGGGAGTGGGGTGTCCATGAATGAAAACAAATATCCTGGATCCTTAGCTTCATCTGTCTTAGGAAAAAAAACCCAGTTGGAAACGATGAGAGAAACCTGGGAGGCCCATATTGAGAGAGAAAGGTTTCCCACTGAGAAAAAGATCCAGGAAACAGGCTGTAGAACCAGGACTCAGGCTGTAGAACCAGGACTGAGGCTGTAGAACCAGGACTCAGGCTGTAGAACCAGGACTCAGGCTGTAGAACCAGGACTGAGGCTGTAGAACCAGGACTCAGGCTGTAGAACCAGGACTCAGGCTGTAGATCCAGGACTCAGGCTGTAGAACCAGGACTCAGAATGTAGAATGAGGACCGAGGCTGTAGAACGAGGTCAAAGAGGTTCTAGTCTGTTCAAGCAATGTATATTAATCGTTATTTGTTTTAGACTTTACAATCAATGTCGACAATTTTTTCAGCAGCAGGTTTCACGAGTCTCCATCCACATGCACATATATGATAACAAGTTTCAGGCCAAATAGGTGCTATACTTGTGCGGCTACTAGCAATTAAAGTCATGTGAGTTGACTACACTTCAGCCAATCAGGGAGAGGACACCAATTCATAAATAAATACAGTATGTATCTGTAAATACCTTTTATTGATTTGTTTGTGGAGTAAAAGGTATACGGCACACACAGACTCGATAGATTCAATATCTCAGTTATAATTTAACTTATAAATAATGCATCTGCGTCCGTATAGATCTGTTTTGGAGACTCGACTTCCACATGGATTCTGGACTCATGGGAACGTGGGGGAAGCATCTTGCCAAGATACGCAGCGATGGTTGGTGGTTGCTAAGGCGGTTGCTAAGGTGGTCAGTAAGATGGTTGCTAAGATGGTTGCTAAGATGGTTGCTAAGATGGTTGCTAAGGTGATTGCTAAGGCGGTTGCTAAGAAGGTTGCTAAGAAGGTTGCTAAGGCGGTTGCTAAGGTAGTTCCTAAGATGGTTGCTAAGGTGGTTGCTAAGATGGTTGCTGAGGTGGTTACTGAGGTGGTTGCTAAGGTGGTTGCAAAGGTGGTTGCTAAGATGGTTGCTAAGGTGGTTGCTAAGGTGGTTGCTAAGGTGGTTGCTAAGATGGTTGCTGAGGTGGTTGCTGAGGTGGTTGCAAAGGTGGTTGCTAAGGTGGTTGCTAAGGGGGTTGCTAAGGTGGTTAGCATCTGTCTTAGCCTTGGCAACCGGTTGCTAAGATGGTTGCTAAGGCGGTTGCTAAGGTGGTTGCTAAGGCGGTTGCTAAGATGGTTCCTAAGGTGGTTGCTAAGATGGTTGCTAAGATGGTTGCTAAGGTGGTTGCTAAGATGGTTGCTATGGTGGTTGCTTAAATGGTTGCTAAGGTGGTTGCTAAGGCGGTTGCTAAGGTGGTTGCTAAGGCGGTTGCCAAGGCGGTTGCTAAGGTGGTTTCTAAGGTGGTTGCTAAGGCGGTTGCCAAGGCGGTTGCTAAGGCGGTTGCTAGGATGGTTCCTAAGGTGGTTCCTAAGGTGGTTGCTAAGATGGTTGCTAAGATGGTTGCTAAGATGGTTGCTAATGTGGTTGCTAAGGTGGTTGCTAAAGTGGTTGCTAAAGTGGTTGCTAACATGTTTGTGAAGGCGGTTGGTGGGGGTGAACCTATGCCATTGGTTTCTTTCTATCGTTCCGGTCCAAAATGTGTAGCTTCATTCATGGAAAAAACATGAATGACGCTACAGACATCGAGGTCGTGTCCTTTCCTATTTGTAAATACATCACTTGACTACTTTTGTGGTTTAGGGACATTTCTCCACAGGATTTTAGAATTGCGTCTGAATTAATCATTGACTGCATCTTTAAATAGCAACCACACGCAAACCACAATCTACCCAAATCCCAATGTGGCCCCCGGGATAAAACATCCCGGGGGCTTCCTAAGGTTGCTAAGGTGGTTGCTAAGATGGTTGCTAAGGTGATTGCTAAGGCGGTTGCTAAGATGGTTGCTAGGATGGTTGCTAAGGTGGTTGCTAAAATGCTTGCTAAGATGGTTGCTAAGATGGTTGCTAAGATGGTTGCTAAGGTGGTTGCTAAGATGCTTGCTAAGATGGTTGCTAAGGTGGTTGCTAAGGTGGTTGCTAGGATGGTTGCTAAGGCGGTTGCTAAGATGGTTGCTAAGGTGGTTGTTAAGGTGGTTGCTAAGGTGGTTGCTAAGGCGGTTGCTAAGATGGTTGCTAAGATGGTTGCTAAGGTGGTTGCCAAGATGGTTGCTAAGGTGGGTGCTAAGGTGGGTGCTAAGATGGTTGCTAAGGTGGTTGCAAAGATGGTTGCTAAGGCGGTTGCTAAGGTGGTTGCTAAGACAGATGCTAAGGCAGTTGCGAAAGGCGGTTGCTAAGGCGGTTGCTAAGATGGTTGCTAAGGCGGTTGCTAAGGTGGTTGCTACGGCGGTTGCTAAGGTGGTTTCTAAGGTGGTTGCTAAGGTGGTTGCTAAGGCGGTTGCTAAGGCGGTTGCTAAGATGGTTCCTAAGGTGGTTGCTAAGATAGTTGCTAAGATGGTTGCTAAGGTGGTTGCTAAGATGGTTGCTATGGTGGTTGCTTAAATGGTTGCTAAGGTGGTTGCTAAGGCGGTTGCTAAGGTGGTTTCTAAGGTGGTTTCTAAGGTGGTTGCTAAGGCGGTTGCCAAGGCGGTTGCTAAGGCGGTTGCTAGGATGGTTCCTAAGGTGGTTGCTAAGATGGTTGCTAAGATGGTTGCTAAGGTGGTTGCTAAGATGGTTGCTAATGTGGTTGCTAAGGTGGTTGCTAAAGTGGTTGCTAAGGTGGTTGCTAACATGTTTGTGAAGGCGGTTGGTGGGGGTGAACCTATGCCATTGGTTTCTTTCTATCGTTCCGGTCCAAAACGTGTAGCTTCATTCATGGAAAAAACATGAATGACGCTACAGACATCCGGTCGTGTCCTTTCCTATTTGTAAATACATCACTTGACTACTTTTGTGGTTTAGGGACATTTCTCCACAGGATTTTAAAATTGCGTCTGAATTAATCATTGACTGCATCTTTAAATAGCAACCACACGCAAACCACAATCTACCCAAATCCCAATGTGGCCCCCGGGATAAAACATCTCCCACCCCTGGTCTATAAATTAACTTAAAAACAAAACTAAATGTATAAAAGCCGTTTTAACTCATGGTTCCGGTTTCATTTCCATGTGTTGTAGTTTGTGGTGCAGCTGGAGGCCATCGCCACAGATCAATTCTTATGCACAAATGTGTTTTCACCGCATCAATAACACGATCGATGTGCAAACTGATACAAAGGAGACGCTTCTGAAATACACACTCTTCTGATCCAATGTTGAATAGATACAAACTGTACACGCTTCTCCACGGACACTAAAAATACATGTTGGATATTTACAGCATGGTCAGTGCCAGTCATTTTGCCTTTTCAATACGGGCGTTTGGGGAAAGCTCTTTTTGATGCTGTTTCTGTTTTGGCCGCGAAAAAAAAGCCATTTGCTAATCCTTGTATTAAACCCATATTTTCTCATAATTCTGCCAGAAACTCGTCTTCAACCTTTGGGAGAGTAACACAGAGAGGTAGACATGGCCATGAGCTAACCCCAGCAGCGAAAGACTTCAGATATGAGTAAAAAGTTGAAGAAATTATGATTTTCATGTCAAATCATCATTAAAGGGCCCTAATCTGTCGTCATTAAAGGGCCCTAATCTGTCGTCATTAAAGGGCCCTAATCTGTCATCATTAAAGGGCCCTAATCTGTCGTCATTAAAGGGCCCTAATCTGTCATCATTAAAGGGCCCTAATCTGTCATCATTAAAGGGCCCTAATCTGTCATCATTAAAGGGCCCTAATCTTTCATCATTAAAGGGCCCTAATCTGTCATCATTAAAGGGCCCTGATCTGTCATAATTAAAGGGCCTTAATCTGTCATCATTAAAGGGCCCTAATCCGTCATCATTAAAGGGCCCTAATCTGTCATAATTAAAGGGCCTTAATCTGTCGTCATCAAAGGGCCCTAATCTGTCATAATAATAAACTGCTCTTTTCCAATACTTCTTTAACTGATAACTGTAGTTCAGAGATATTTGAATTTCTAAATTACTTTTCCAGCCTCTAAATCTTGTTATTGTTTTCATTTCGATGTTCCGCCCTCCACCGTTTCACCAATCAGAAAGTCTGTGATCCGGGCGCCAGAACTCACCGCGTGGAGCTAATCTCACTGGTAAAGTACCATGTGGCGCAGAACTAAAAAAGGTCTCGTTATGATTCTCAAATCATTAACGACAAAACCAGATATAAAACCAGGATTTCTATCTTTGTGAGAAAGGTGTTGGTTAAAGCAAAGGAAGGTTTCTCACCCATCATCTGTACTTCTTAGCAAGTTTTCCCGACGTTGGTTAAACACAAAAGTGACAAAGTCAGATATTATGGTCCCAGCTGGAGACTAGCCACCACCAACCGTTCACACACACACCAGACTCATTCTAATGTGGGGGAAGTGTCTTGCCTAAGGACACAACCACAGTTTAGCACTTTACAGCCGCCCCACTGTGGCACCTGCTGTTCCCAGAGGTCTCCCATCACAGAACTAACCAGGCCCTGCCCTGCACAGCTTCAAAAATTTGACAGGATCTGACTTTCACATAAAAATTTCAGATTCAGATTCAGATTCATTTATTTGCCATTTGCAGTAAAACCACATAGGAAAAACTGTGCAAGACTACCCCGGTGTGCACCAGACACACACCAGAGCTCTTGCCACGGCGCCATCTTTACGGCGCCATGCGACAGATACATATGAAATAGACCAAAATAGAGACAGGAAAGAATCAGTTCAAAAACAGGAAACACAAGAATAACAAACACAGAGGAGACAAATGTCCTCACAATTTAGTAAAATAAAAACAAAGGGAAAAAGTGAGATATGTTTTTGGGAGAGACTCGCTTCCACAGAGAGACGGCTGTGGATCCAGAACTCCGGCCTTAGAACCAGAATAACACAATACTAGTTTTCCTTAGACGTGATCTCGAGAATATATGAGAGAGAGAGAGAGAGAGAGAGACAGAGACAGAGCGAGAGAGACAGAGAGAGAGAGAGAGAGAGACAGAGAGAGAGACAGAGACAGAGATAGAGAGAGAGAGAGAGAGAGAGAGACAGAGACAGAGACAGAGCGAGAGAGACAAAGACAGAGAGAGAGAGAGAGACAGTGACAGAGAGAGAGAAACAAAGAGATAGAGAGACAGAGAGAGAGACAGAGACAGAGATAGAGAAACAAAGAGATAGAGAGACAGAGAGAGAGACAGAGACAGAGATAGAGAGAGAGAGAGAGAGAGACAGAGCGAGAGAGACAGAGACAGAGAGAGAGAAACAAAGAGATAGAGAGACAGAGAGAGAGACAGAGACAGAGATAGAGAGAGAGAGAGAGAGACAGAGACAGAGCGAGAGAGAGAGAGAGAAACAAAGAGATAGAGAGACAGAGAGAGACAGAGAGAGACAGAGAGAGAGAGAGACAGAGACAGAGAGAGAGAGAGACAGAGAGATAGAGAGAGAGATAGAGACCCCTGTAGGAGAAATTGGGGTCCAGTAAGAATATTTGGAATTGAATTGAATGCTTTATGCAAATGTATGTGTTTAAAAGCTTGAGAACCCCTGCCCCGGGACATATTTATCGTTTGCGAGACAATAACATTGTATTTTATCTTAAATTAAATGATAAAAAAGTTAACATTGCAGAAACTTTTCATTCGCAAACGTTTGCAACAGAACACACCTGGATCAAGACAAAACACTTATAAAAACATAGGTTCTCGTTCATATCTGCTGGTCCTTTGGCCTCTCTCTCCCGACCCCGGCTTCCACACTTGCTCCATGTTTTTCCTCCAGAACGAGCTGTAAAAATAGTCCCAAAGTCTCACTCAAATCCCGGCGAGAACCGTTACAAACACTATAATCCGCCGCTGGCTTCCTCTCCGCTCCTTTAAAACAGCCAAACCCCATGTGTTATTGCTACAGATCACGTTACTAGGCACAGCTCACCAAAATAACATCTTTCATATCTGCAAACGTTGACCTTGGATGGGAAGCAGACAGCGCCCGGGGCCGGTCCTTCTCTCTTAAAAAGGAGAAGCTCATGAGACGGACACAGCGGAAGGTTCTGCCGAGCTTCAAGTGCGACAAATGTGAGATGAGTCCGGGTTTAAGAGAGCTGCTGTTCAGAGAGGTTTGCGGACAGGTATGCAGAGAAGAATGGGAGAAAATTCCATTCAACTCAATGTGTGTTTTGTGTAGATCTAAATCACAACAGTTTACAAACACAGAGAGAATCAAACTGTACAAACTTAAGAACCAGACATTGGTTCATAACGGGCAGAGAGCAAAGACCCTCCTGCATCTGCATCTCCTCCTCTCTCCAGCTCTCTGACGCCTCTCCTCTCTGCCCTCTCTCCTCCTTTCTCCAGTTCTGTCCCCTCTCTCCTTCTCTCTGCTGCTCTGTCCTCCTTTCTGTCCCTTCTCTCCAGCTCCAGTTTCCTCTCTCCTCTCTCTGACCCCCTCTCTTCCTCTCTAACTCTCTTTCTTCCTTTCTCCAGCTCTCTGCCCCCTCTGTCCTCCTCTCTGCAGCTCTCTCTCCTCCTCTACAGCCCTCTGCCCAATCTCTCCTTCTCCTCTCTCTAGCTCTGTCCCCTCTCTCCTCCTCTCTGCAGCTCTCTCCTCCTCTCTACAGCTCTCTCCTCCTCTCTGTCCCCTCTCTCCTTCTCTCTGTCCCCTCTCTCCTTCTCTCAGTCCCCTCTCTCCTTCTCTCTGTCCCCTCTCTCCTTCTCTCTGTCCCCTCTATCCTCCTCTCTGTCCCCTCTCTCCTTCTCTCTGTCCCCTCTCTCCTTCTCTCTGTCCCCTCTCTCCTTCTCTCAGTCCCCTCTCTCCTTCTCTCTGTCCCCTCTCTCCTTCTCTCTGTCCCCTCTATCCTCCCTCTCTGTCCCCTCTCTCCTTCTCTCTGTCCCCTCTCTCCTTCTCTCAGTCCCGTCTCTCCTCCTCTCTACAGCTCTACCTTCCTCTCTGTCCCCTCTCTCCTCCTCTCAGTCCCGTCTCTCCTCCTCTCTACAGCTCTCTCCTCCTCTCTGTCCCCTCTCTCCTCCTCTCTGCAGCTCTATCCTCCTCTCAGTTCCGTCTCTCCTCCTCTCTACAGCTCTCTTCTCCTCTCTGTCCCCTCTCTCCTCCTCTCTGCAGCTCTATCCTCCTCTTAGTCCCGTCTCTCCTCCTCTCTACAGCTCTCTCCTCCTCTCAGTCCCGTCTCTCCTCCTCTCTACAGCTCTCTCCTCCTCTCTGTCCCCTCTCTCCTCCTCTCTGCAGCTCTATCCTCCTCTCAGTCCCGTCTCTCCTCCTCTCTACAGCTCTATCCTTCTCTCAGTCCCGTCTCTCTTCCTCTCTACAGCTCTATCCTTCTCTCTGTCCCCTCTCTCCTCCTCTCAGTCTCGTCTCTCCTCCTCTCTACAGCTCTATCCTTCTCTCAGTCCCGTCTCTCTTCCTCTCTACAGCTCTATCCTTCTCTCTGTCCCCTCTCTCCTCCTCTCAGTCTCGTCTCTCCTCCTCTCTACAGCTCTCTCCTCCTCTCTGTCCCCTCTCTCCTCTCCATCCCCCTCTCTCTATCTCTCTCTCATCCTCTCCGTCCTCCTCTCTGTATATTATCATTACAACTAAAATCTTGTCTAGATCTTCATAAAAAGGACCCAAACTCATGTCATTTTTATGCTTACAGTAAAAATGTGATGGACTGACGTTGACGTACTGTAAATGTTCAGTAAGGTTCTAGTCCCACCCAGAAGAGTCCACATTCTCTGAAAATATCAAACCTGAGGCAGACTCGGTTCAGAGAGAGTCAAACTGAATATCAATGACCTCACAAAGTCTCGCTGCTTACATGAACAATCTTAAAGAATGAATTGGAACCATACTGTTTTTTACACCAGCCGCTGTGGAGAGTCCTGCTGTGTGGTCTAGACCGGATCCCAGACAAGACCTCGTTTCTGCCGACGTCATATCAAGCTAACGAAGTGTTTACGCCTTTGTGATCAGGCGAAAGATTCCACCGGGACAACATCAAACAAAAGATTTCTCCAGTTAGTTCTAAGATTTACATATAGTTTATTTAGATTTAAAATTTACTCTGAGACCTCCACAACCCAGGCCTTGTTCTGTATCCTAAGACCTGGGTCTACAGCCTCAGTCCTGGGTTTACAGTCTCAGTCCTGGGTTTACAGTCTCAGTCCTGGATCTACAGCCTCAGTCCTGGGTCTACAGCCTCAGTCCCGGGTCTACAGCCTCAGTCCCGGGTCTACAGCCTCAGTCCTGGGTCTACAGCCTCAGTCCCGGATCTACAGCCTCAGTCCCGGGTCTACAGCCTCAGTCCTGGGTCTACAGCCTCAGTCCTGGGTCTACAGCCTCAGTCCTGGGTCTACAGCCTCAGTCCTGGGTTTACAGTCTCAGTCCTGGATCTACAGCCTCAGTCCTGGGTCTACAGCCTCAGTCCTGAGTTTACAGTCTCAGTCCTGGATCTACAGCCTCAGTCCTGAATCTAAAGCCTCAGTCCTGGGTCTACAGCCTCAGTCCTGGATCTACAGCCTCAGTCCTGGATCTACAGCCTCAGTCCTGGGTCTACAGCCTCAGTCCTGGATCTACAGCCTCAGTCCTGGGTCTACAGCCTCAGTCCTGGATCTACAGCCTCAGTCCTGGATCTACAGCCTCAGTCCTGGGTCTACAGCCTCAGTCCCGGGTCTACAGCCTCAGTCCTGGGTCTACAGCCTCAGTCCTGGATCTACAGCCTCAGTCCTGGGTCTACAGTCTCAGTCCTGGGTCTACAGCCTCAGTCCTGGGTCTACAGCCTCAGTCCCGGGTCTACAGCCTCAGTCCTGGGTCTACAGCCTCAGTCCTGGGTCTACAGCCTCAGTCCTGGGTCTACAGCCTCAGTCCTGGGTCTACAGCCTCAGTCCCGGGTCTACAGCCTCAGTCCTGGGTCTACAGCCTCAGTCCTGGGTCTACAGCCTCAGTCCTGGGTCTACAGCCTCAGTCCTGGGTCTACAGCCTCAGTCCTGGGTCTACAGCCTCAGTCCTGGGTCTACAGCCTCAGTCCCGGGTCTACAGCCTCAGTCCTGGGTCTACAGCCTCAGTCCCGGGTCTACAGCCTCAGTCCTGGGTCTACAGCCTCAGTCCTGGGTTTACAGTCTCAGTCCTGGATCTACAGCCTCTGTCCTGGGTCTACAGCCTCAGTCCTGGGTCTACAGCCTCAGTCCTGGGTCTACAGCCTCAGTCCTGGGTCTACAGCCTCAGTCCTGGATCTACAGCCTCAGTCCTGGGTCTACAGCCTCAGTCCCGGGTCTACAGCCTCAGTCCTGGGTCTACAGCCTCAGTCCTGGGTCTACAGCCTCAGTCCTGGGTCTACAGCCTCAGTCCTGGGTCTACAGCCTCAGTCCTGGGTCTACAGCCTCAGTCCTGAATCTACAGCCTCAGTCCTGGGTCTACAGCCTCAGTCCTGGGTCTACAGCCTCAGTCCTGGGTCTACAGCCTCAGTCCTGGGTTTACAGTCTCAGTCCTGGATCTACAGCCTCAGTCCTGGGTCTACAGCCTCAGTCCTGGGTCTACAGCCTCAGTCCTGGGTTTACAGCCTCAGTCCTGGGTCTACAGCCAGTCCTGGGTTTACAGTCTCAGTCCTGGGTCTACAGCCTCAGTCCTGGGTCTACAGCCTCAGTCCTGGGTCTACAGCCTCAGTCCTGGGTCTACAGTCTCAGTCCTGGGTTACAGTCTCGTCCTGGATCTACAGCCTCAGTCTGGGTCTACAGCCTCAGTCCTGGGTTTACAGTCTCAGTCCTGGATCTACAGCCTCAGTCCTGGGTCTACAGCCTCAGTCCTGGGTCTACAGCCTCAGTCCTGGGTCTACAGCCTCAGTCCTGGGTCTACAGCCTCAGTCCTGGGTCTACAGCCTCAGTCCTGGGTTTACAGTCTCAGTCCTGGGTTTACAGTCTCAGTCCTGGATCTACAGCCTCAGTCCTGGGTCTACAGCCTCAGTCCTGGGTTTACAGTCTCAGTCCTGGATCTACAGCCTCAGTCCTGGGTCTACAGCCTCAGTCCTGGGTCTCTTGGGTAATATGTACACAAATAAAGTTAGGTAAGAGAGAGAGCTGGAGGGAGGAGGAGGAGGATAGGAAAGATTCACACCTGTTTTTATCGTGGAACAGAACCACACTCATATCTGTTTGTGTTTGTCTAATATTTCGTGGGACTTTTCTAACAAACTGCTGTTTTTATGGGTGCTCCTCTTCCTCCCCCCGTCTCCTGCTCCGGTGGTGAACCCTGGACGACCGGCCGTGGCCTGTTGCTCAGAGATCAGCTGTTTCTCCACGTGAAGCGCGGTCACTGGCACGAGAAGCCGCCGGGGCCGAGCTGCAGTGATGAATGTCTGCACAGGAGCTTTGTGGGTGCGGGGAGGGCGAGCAAAAAGAGCTTACTTTTGAAACCGCTGCTTCGAAATCACAAAGTCAGTTAGTGCAGCTTTAAAGGGCCCTATTCTGTCATAATTAAAGGGCCCTAATCTGTCATCATTAAAGGGCCCTAATCTGTCATCATTAAAGTGCCCTAATCTGTCATCATTAAAGGGCCCTATTCTGTCATCATTAAAGGGCCCTAATCTGTCATCATTAAAGGGCCCTAATCTGTCATCATTAAAGGGCCCTAATCTGTCATCATTAAAGGGCCCTAATCTGTCATCATTAAAGGGCCCTAATCTGTCATCATTAAAGGGTCCTAATCTGTCATCATTAAAGGGCCCTAATCTGTCATCATTAAAGAGCCCTAATCCGTCATCATTAAAGGGCCCTAATCTGTCATCATTAAAGGGCCCTAATCTGTCATCATTAAAGGGCCCTAATCTGTCATCATTAAAGAGCCCTAATCTGTCATCATTAAAGGGCCCTAATCTGTCATCATTAAAGGGCCCTAATCTGTCATCATTAAAGTGCCCTAATCTGTCATCATTAAAGGGCCCTAATCTGTCATCATTAAAGGGCCCTAATCTGTCATCATTAAAGTGCCCTAATCTGTCATCATTAAAGGGCCCTATTCTGTCATCATTAAAGGGCCCTAATCTGTCATCATTAAAGGGCCCTAATCTGTCATCATTAAAGGGCCCTAATCTGTCATCATTAAAGGGCCCTAATCTGTCATCATTAAAGGGCCCTAATCTGTCATCATTAAAGGGTCCTAATCTGTCATCATTAAAGGGCCCTAATCTGTCATCATTAAAGAGCCCTAATCCGTCATCATTAAAGGGCCCTAATCTGTCATCATTAAAGGGCCCTAATCTGTCATCATTAAAGGGCCCTAATCTGTCATCATTAAAGAGCCCTAATCTGTCATCATTAAAGGGCCCTAATCTGTCATCATTAAAGGGCCCTAATCTGTCATCATTAAAGTGCCCTAATCTGTCATCATTAAAGGGCCCTAATCTGTCATCATTAAAGGGCCCTATTCTGTCATCATTAAAGGGCCCTATTCTGTCATCATTAAAGGGCCCTAATCTGTCATCATTAAAGGGCCCTAATCTGTCCTCATTAAAGGGCCCTAATCTGTCATCATTAAAGGGCCCTAATATGTCATCATTAAAGAGCCCTAATCTGTCATCATTAAAGGGCCCTAATCTGTCATCATTAAAGGGCCCTAATCTGTCCTCATTAAAGGGCCCTAATCTGTCATCATTAAAGGGCCCTAATCTGTCATCATTAAAGGGCCCTAATCTGTCATCATTAAAGGGCCCTAATCTGTCCTCATTAAAGGGCCCTAATCTGTCATCATTAAAGGGCCCTAATCTGTCATCATTAAAGGGCCCTAATCTGTCATAATAAATAAACTTCTCTTTTCCAATACGTCTTTAACTGATAACAGTAGTTCAGAGATATTTGAATTTCTAAATTACTTTTCCAGACCCTAAATCTTGTTATTGTTTTCATTTCGATGTCCCGCCCTCCACCGTTTCACCAATCAGAAAGTCTGTGATCCGGGCGCCAGAACTCACCACGTGGAGCTAATCTCACTGGTAGAGTACCATGTGGCGCAGAACTAAAAAAGGTCTCGTTATGATTCTCAAATCATTAATGACAAAACAAGGAATAAAACCAGGATTTCTATCTTTGTGAAAAAGGTGTTGGTTATAGATTTGTTGTTGACAAAACTCTTGTCTATTCAGCTGTTATGGTCCCAGCTGGATTCGTCTGCATATCTGGCAACCTGAGTCAGGGAGAGTGGGAGAGGCTGCAGTACCACTGTTGGCCACATTTGTACATACATCTCCTTTAATTATGTCAAAACAAGTGGAACTGAAATACAGTCAGGTCGGTCTTTGGAACGCTGTAGGGAATGGACAGAGAGCGAACATCCACAGCACGTGCCTGCAGAAAAAAATCAAAAACAAACAAGCTCCCTCACAAACACACACAAACACACACAAACACACACATTACCCACGAAGCTGCTGCGGAGAAAGACACAGCTCACTCTTGTACACATCCACTCTGATGGCAACAAAACACGACCCATTCTCAGGCTGTTAGCGTCATTGTTAGCACACGCTAGCCGAGCGTAAACAGGAAGAGAAACGGAAGCTTACTTTGGTCATTTCATAGCATTTTGAAGCAACTGTGGTTAAAGTTCTA